TGCAGCTGCCAGGGCCTGGCCTGCGCCGCGGACACGCTCTGGGGACGGGGCTCGGCCCTGCTCCTGCTTTTCAGGTTCCCTCGGAACTTGTGCTCGCTGCCCACGAGTGCTGCGGCGATGTCTTGTTTCTGTAGCCGGGGTATTTCTAGCGTGCCTCCTGACTGCTCATTTCCCAGCCCTTGAATACGTAATGGTTGTGGTTTTGACCAAAAATATAGGGGTACCTGCTCGAGAGCAGCTTGCAGGGTATGCAGGCAGATGGAGGGAGTTGGACCGGGGAGAAATGCTGGTGCAGACTGTGGTGGGGTGCAGTGGGGACTGACCGCATTTGCAATTTTACTATAATGGGTCTAAAAGAGACCTTCTTTTCTGAAAGCTGCTTCTTACACACTGCCCTGAGCAAGGGTGATTTTTAGGCTGGGATCCTGCTTTTCCAGGTGGGCTGTGTGGCACCCAGCCCTTCAAGGCTCATGCTGCTGGGGTATTTCAACACAGGAGCAGCTGCCATCCTGCAGCTTTTCCCCTGCCCAGCCTGGAAGATGGCCCAGAGAAGCAGCATTCCAAGCCTGGCTCCAGCCAAAGGAGACCAAACTCACCTGCATTAAGGCCAAGCAGCTGTCCCCCTGTGTGGGACCAGGTTATCACCAGCATCACCAAATCTCCTCCCAAAAGTGCGGGCTGCAACTGGGGTCTTGCAGAGTATGACTTCACCAAGATGCTTGTCTCTAGCAAACAGACTCTCAAAAAGGCTACTAATATATTCAGCTTTTAGTATGCATATGCAAACCCCCTTTCCCTGACTGATTTTACTGAGCACGTTCCCTTTTCCCTTGTCCCTTTTACAGATTTCTCCTCTGCATCTTATGGGACTGCCAGTTTAGAGCAAAAAGTCTTTTGGCATCTATGTTTTTACCCCAGCATTATTTCTGCAGCATTATTCCTGCAGCATCTCTTGCTCCTGGAGATGATGCTTCTCTAAGCAGCGTAAGCGCAGGGTGCTTGTGAGAGGGACCGTGCTTTGGGTGGCCAAGGGGCAGCCCCAGCACCTCTACCATGGCCAGGCACCCGGTGAGGCAGCGCCTTGGTGGCCATGTGAAAATTTGGCAGGACTGGTTAGCCAGGGTGGCTGGGCAGAACTGACAGGTCTGGTTTCCGAGGCCTCTCCCCCTGTGTCTGCGTCAGCCATCAGGCACTGGCAGCATCCCTCCCTGCTTCCGGCCCCACCCAAAATTTCTGATGTGATAAGGCGGGTTTTAGGCTGACTTTGCTGAACTGGCAGCAAGGGAAGAAGTGTGCAAGCATAAATTTAATGCAACAGAGATGCTGGTGAAATTGCTCCTTGTCGAGCGCCTGGTGCTGCTCCTGTTGGCACTGGGGGGTGGAGCCACATCATCTCATCTGTCATGAGTATCCTCTCATCTCATCTGTCCTCCCTGTCATGTTGGAGTGGAGCATCCCCATTCATCCCTTCTGCCACATGCATTTCCCAGGCCCTCACATGGTGCATTAAGCCACTGTGTGCTCCTGTGAGCCAACGAGCTGGGCTCCCTAAGTGCAGAGCTTACCAGGGATGGATGCAGCCATGCACCTGTCTCCTTGCACCAAGTGCCAGCAGCCATGCGGTCCAGCCCAGCATCGCTGCAGTGATAACTTGAAGAAGCAAATTTGCTGGGGCACAGAGCCGAGCAGCGATGCCCACCAACTTCTCACAGCCAGGAATGCAAGCTTTGCTTCCTGGTCTGGCAGGGAGTTCCCCGCTGGCTTTTCACCTGCATGAGCACCTCTTGGGTCAGCAGTGAGGTGGGGCTGACGAAGCTGCTGGGGCCGCCCAATACCTGGGCTGGCAAAGCAAACTTTCCTGTTTCGGCCATGCTGTGCAGCCACCATCCCTGCTGCACCCTCAGCTCTGCACCTGGCGGGGTCCCATCTCACCCTGCAGCATGACCCTGCCGCGTGTGGTGGCTGGACCCAGAGCCTGTGCAGCGGGGAAGGGAGACTGAGGCTGGGAAGGAGACGCGTCGGTAAGTCTGGTTTCGGGACCCTAGTCGGCACAGGGTGGGAGCGAGAAGCAAGGCTTCCCCAGAGCCTTTTCTAGGAGCAGGGGTTCTTGATGCTCCCTGTAGAGCCCGCTAAGGCTGCTCTGCCTCTCCCAGACCACATCAGGGCTGTCCCCATCATCTCCAGAAGAGGGGCTCAGGTCACCCCATGGGGCTGGGATGATCTTCTTTTTTAAGCCAGGGCCAATATCAGACTAATGTGACACAGCCCATGACATGTGGCAGGGAAGAAGTGCTGAGACACCTAATTCTGTGCTGGGTGGGTGCCTGTTCACCAGCGCTGTCATGTCTACCCACAACCACAGCCTGAAGCTGCAGCCTGGCACATCCTAAATATCACTGGCCACCAATTTCCATGTGTGGGGACAGGAGAAACTGATCATTAAAGCTGCTTGTAGCAAGGCTGTGAGTAGAGCTGGAGTGTCCAATGGCACACATGTCCCAGGTGGCCCTGGGTAAGACACTTAACATGCACCTCATTGCCCCAGTGATGCCACAGGGATGACAGCAATTCTCACGTCCCTCTGGCTCTAAAGCCACATGTGGCAAAGCCCACTGTAGGAAAAATTAAAGTCTCTTGCTGGCTTCGTGGACTCAGCGGAGGGAAGCGCAGAGGTGGTTTCTCCCTGGGAGGATCCCTGTGAAAGGAGCCGTGTGGGGTGGGTTGAATGTGGGCGAGTGCAGGCAGAGAGAGGCGGTGGTGGCTGCTTTAGCAGGGACCTGCTCAGATGCAGGGTAGGCAGCTGGGGCAGCCAAGGCAAACAGGCACATACCTGCCAGCCTTGGTCATGGCACGGGGCCGGGTGCCACCAGCGCTGTGGTGGCTGCAGACCTGCTCGCCATGCAGCCTGGCTCCTGCCACACCTCTCCCACTACTGCTGCTCACCTGAAAGGAGGCAAGAATGAAGTTTTGCCTACGAGGAAGCATTCATGCTACAATAAGAGCCTTGCTATGGGGAGAGCAGTAGTGAAAAACCATTCTGCTTTAAACGTGAAGCCTTCCCTTAAGCTGCGTCGGTGTTGCCGTGTGTATGGGTTGGGCTTACACAGAGTTTCTCAGTCAGTGTGATACCAGCCTGGTGGCACCACTGCCACCTGCAATGCAGGCACCAGCTCTGCGATAAGCCCGGGAGCTTAAGATCCTGCTCCTCAGCCCTGCCAGAGGGGAAAAATACCCAATAGAGGGTGTTAGCTAATGGTGGGGCTTGCCTGGGGCTGGGAAAACTCCCTAATAATGCATCCCCCTCTTTCTGAAGGCAGGCTTGTAGGGTATAAATGTGAAGGCTGTAGGCAAGAGGCCTGCTGGCGCAGAGCTCTCCCTGCCCATGGCTCCCTCAGGCTCCATTTCACACCTCATTGCTAAAGTGGCCAAGCCTTAAATGCTTAGGCTGGGCTCTGTGTTTTAATTGTGTTTGCTCTCATTAGAGCTCTGGGCTACTGGCAGCAAACACAAAACTGGAAAACAAATCCCCACCCTGTTAATTTTGCTTGGATCCCCAGGTCACCACAGCTTAGCCATGGCAGTGGCAGCCAGGAAAGGCAGAGTGACAGCCTCCCCGCTCACCAGCAGCCCTATGGCCATCGCCACCATGGCTCAACTGGGCTTCCTGGGCAGCAGGCTTAGCCGGATCCCACGTGAGTATAGTGGTGCTTGCCCTGCTCTCTCAGGCAGTGTCATTCGGGGGGCTCCTGGCTGTGTATCCCCTTCTCCCTCCCTCCAGATCTCTTCTTCCATCAGGGTCAATTGGGATGGGGATGCTGCAGAGTGGCATCACACTGCTCTGGGAGCACAGGGCATCCTTGCTGCCCGTTTGAGGAATGATCTCCAGTTGCAGCCTCCCTGCATGAGGCCTGTCCAGGATTATGGGGGGGGAATATTGAAAGTACAGCTTCTTAATGTGATAGCACCAGAAAGGTGTTTAAATGCACTCCATATGTTTTTGCTTGGTTTTAACTCTTCTGTCCATCTCCACTCCCTGAATATTGCACCAGTACCCAAATGGGCTCTCATCACCGTGATTGTGGCAGTGGCCGTTCTCTTCCTCCTCTTCCTCATCTGCATCATCAGGTGCTGCTGTTGCAAGAAGAAGCCCAAGAAGAAGGAGAGAGTCAGCTTGCACGCCATCAGCAGCTCCACCACGGCCAGTCTCGTGCGTACTGCTCTCCCCTCTCCCCCACCTCCTTTCTCCCTGAGAGGTTTGCTCCCACACTGCCTGGTCCCAGGGGTGGTGGGAGCACAGCATGGCCAGGATGTGGCTGAGCACATCCTGAGGGTAATGCTGCTCTCTGCTGCAGGTCCAGCCTGAGATGGAGGACCTGGAGCAAGATATGGAGCAGATGGTGCGAGGAAAGCTGCAGTACTGCCTGGAATACAACTTCCGCACACAGGAGGTGGGGATGCTTGTGGCCACGGCATGGCAGGGAAAAGGTTTTGCTCTTGCATGGTCCTTCTTTGCTGCCCACAGCTGCCCGTACCCTCTTGCACCTCCCTCCCATCTGCAGCCTGCTTTTACACCTGCGTGGTATGGAGGTGTCCTCCCTGCTGCACTCACTTCCTTCCCACTAAACTCCTGGTCGTGTGGCCCCATCCTCCACCTGGTGACCTTGTGCATCACTCCTTTAAGCTGAGAGTCAGCGTGAAGCAGGCAGCGGAGCTGAAGGCCATGGACAGTGGAGGCACATCCGATCCATACGTGGTCGTGTACCTAACATCCGACACAAAGAAGAAGTATGAGACCAAGGTTTACCGCAAGACCCTGAACCCTGTCTTCAATGAGAGCTTCACTTTTCAGGTAGGAAGATATATCTGATGATGGTTTTTGGTCCCACAAGAGCATTGCATGGGCACTGCTCCCTGGGTGAAAACCTCTCCAGGCAGGGAGATGCCTTTGCAACTGGGAAGCATCAGAGAGGAAGACCTGTTATTGCATCTGCCACCCCATCCCATGGGGCAGGGCTGCCACCAAGGAGTGAGTCCAGGCTTTTGGGTCCTCCCTTGCAGGTACCCCATGCAGAGGTGCCTGAATCCACACTGGTGATGCAGGTCTACGACTTTAACCGCTTTTCCAAGCACGACATCATTGGTGAGGTCCGCCTGCCTCTGGCCAGCGTCAGCCTGCAGCACATCATCGAGCAGTGGAGCGACCTGGCAGTGGCCAGTAAAGTGGAGGTTGGTCCTGGCAGGTGGGAAATTATGCTGGGAGGGATGCACTGTTGCTTTGCTTGCCACCACCCCTGGAGACAAGCATGAAGGTGGAGGAGGCCTAGGAAACCTGGGGCCAGCCTGGTGCTCCAGTTCCAGGTGACCCAGCTCCTCTGCCCAGTGCTCATCACTGTCATCTCTCCATCAGGAAGAGCAGCTGGGTGAGATCTGCTTCTCGCTGCGCTATGTTCCCAGCACTGGCAAGCTGACAGTGCTCATCCTGGAAGCCAAGAAGCTGAAGCGGATGGACTCCCATGGGCTCTCAGGTCAGCAGGGGCTGCTTGTACTCAGATCTCCCTACTCCTGTCCAGACCTTAATGATGGCACCAAGAGCTGCAAAGCCTTGAAAGATCTCAGTGCTGCGATCTGTTTACTGCTGCCACCACCACACCTAGCCCTTGGCTGGCTCCCAGCCTTCCCTAGCACAGATACTCCAGCTTTAGACAGAGCTGGAGGTGTCTCCCAGGAGGAGATGTCATGGCTGGATGGTATGGGGAGCTTGTGACAGGAGGAGTCAGGGCGAGGTGAGCTCTAGAGTGGCTGGCAAGGGATGCTCACCACAAGGAGTGCCAAGTGGGATGCTGTGCTCTGCTTGGAAATGGCCCAGGGAAGCTTTTTCCTGGCTGAGCTCTTCAGTCAAAAATTCACTTGTGCCAGCCATGTCCTCTTGCTCCTCAGATCCTTTTGTCAAGGTGCATCTCATCCTGAACAGGAAGAAATGGAAGAAGAAGACGACAAGTGTGAAGAAAAACACGTTAAGCCCTTACTTCAATGAGGTGTTTGTTTTTGAGGTGCCTTTCAATCAGATCCAGGTGGGTTTCCCTGCAGCACCCTGGGCTGAGTGGGTCCTCACTGTGCCTAGCCCCCTCCCACTGACCCTCTGCCTTGTGTTGCTCTTGCAGAACGTGGACGTGGTCATCTCCGTCTGGGATCACGACAAAGTGACCAAGAACGAGCCCATTGGCAAACTCTTTCTAGGCTGCCGTGCGACGGGCAACCAGCTGCGGCACTGGTCCGACATGCTGTCCAGCCCACGCAGGCCCCTTGCCCAGTGGCACAGCCTGCAGCCCCCCGATGTGGTTGACAAAGCCCTGGGGCTGAAGTCCCATCTCAAGCTGCCCCTGCCCCACAGATAGTGGGGGTCTCCTCCACCACCTGAGTGGCAGGACAGAGGGCTTGTGGAGGGATGAGGGGCTTCTGCTCAGCAGCATCTAGACATGTTGGTGCCAGCTCAGTGTTAGCAAAGAGGAGACCAGAGGCTCTTTTTGGCCAAGAGATGATCTGGCTGCTGGTGCAGCTCATGTTCTGTGTAATGCCTGGAGTAGGACAGCTTGGCACCCTGGGGCAAGGCTGGACACAGAGCAGAGGTTGCTAGAGGGAATGGCACGAGTGCAGGAGCCAGCTCATCCCAGCTGATCATGGGCTGCAGTGACAAATATACAGAGATTCAAGCTCATGCAAAACCACTGAGTCTATTGGTATTTTTAAAGCAGAGGATTAACCTGCTGACATCCCGGGTGGCAGTTTCTTTGGTTGTTAATAACTTGGCAAGAGGTGATCCCTTGGGAAGGTTTTATGTGTCCTGTGAAGTCTTTTAAACAAGACCAAGACCTTGAAGCACCCTAAGAGACTTGAGGAGAGAAAGAGGACAGGCTGGTGAGGAAGGTGTTGGACATACAAGACCAGCTCTTTAGTGCCTCTGCAATAAGCATGCTTTGTGTCCTGGCTAGAGTCTAAATGAGACAGCAAAATCAGCCACTGATTGTCCACACAACTTTGCTCTTAGCCCATTTCCCGTCTGTGCTGTCTTATGCACCCCAAGATATGACTCAGGGGATGGGACTCACCAGCAACCATCGCCACAAAACGTGAAGATGAAGCAGTGCAGTATTGGCTCCACCCACCCTGTGTGGTTCTACTGTGCTGGCACAGCAAGTTTTGCACCCCTGGCACCTGGAGATGCTGCCAGGGTGGAGGGGCTGAGGCTCTTGCTTTTGTGTCATGATCAGATCACACTACTCTGATGAAGGCTGGGTTGCAGCCTTTGTGTCACTTCTGGGTGAGCTTTGTGTAATCCGGGAGGTTTTTGTGGCCACACGTCCTGCCTTGCCCTGCTTCATGGGGCCTTGGGGCTGGGGCTACATAAGTAAAGATCCCCTCTAGAAGGATGAGGACATCAGAAAGGTGCCTACCCATATTTGAGTATGCTGCAGTTTGGGGTGGCTTGGGAGCAGCTCCTCTGAGCCATCTGTGGCAGGAAGCTTGCTGCATTTGGCTGGAGGGAATTACCCTTGCTCTGAAATACTTTTGCTACAAAGCAGCCACAGCACACCGAAGATTTGGGATCATAGCATTGTATTTCAGCACAAAAGTAAAAATGAAAGTATAAGAATAATAGCTATTGCCTGGGCTCTGAAGGGGAGAGAGCCCAGCGCAGTAATGAAGAGCCATTAATACTGAAAAGCAGTTAATCTGCAATTACCCAGAGCTCCACAGAGCAACCATCCGACAGTTAAACAAACATGGTGAGCTGAGGAAGATTATGAAAACTCTTGATAGAGATTAATGACCTGGGCTTAACTATAGAAAGCTGCTGCATCTGCTCCTTGATAAATATTCTCCAGGCTTTGCTGTGGCTGTGATGAGGAAGAAATGGCAGGGTGGTTTCAAGATGGCTGTAACAAATTAAGTGTGGCTTCTGCTGGGGAAACAGCATCTGCTGGCAGCTGCTAATGAGATGGAGGAGGAAATCAGTCACCCAAGAATGAGTAAAGGGATGCTTTGAAGTCTCAACCTTCAGTCTCAGCTTTAAATCAGGTTGGAACGGGCTGTGCAGAAGGGAACATCTGTGAATTGGGTTTGGGGTCCCAAATCCATCACCAGCTTGATTTTTGAGGATGCTGCATGGTGATCTAGGGCCATGCAGAACCCAGAAGGGCTTTTGGAGATGTTGGACACAGGCATTTCTTACTTGTGTGTAGTTGTGGGCTTTTTCCAGTCCCCTTTTTTGAAGTCATGGCCTTGAGGTTCACAGCATAATTTTTGCAGCTAAGCATAAAAGCACATGCATATTAGTCCCAAAACAGATGCGGCTGAAGAAGGTGCAGGGGCATCCCCTCCTTGGGAAATGCTACCCCCAGTACCAGTGCCCACCATTTCTCTCTCCAGCTTTGGCCCCACTCAGAGCCTGAATCATCAGCACAATCCTGTGTGAGCACAGCCAATAAGGGAAGCCTATGGTGCTTTTTGGGGGGAAGCTGAGGATCCTGCGAGCAAGTGCCTGGCTGGGCCAGCTCCAGACAGCCTGGGCTGAGCCTTGGTGCTGTTAAACTCAGCAAACTGATCTGTTTGCTCAAGAGGGAGGGGTGAGCAGGTGGGGATGATCTCCACCTAGCTCCAGTTTTTAATGCACCACCAAGGCTGCTTTCTTCCTCCATCCTTTCTTTTCCTTCTCAGTCTGCCTCGTGCTCTTTCAACAAGGCTTTGAGTGCTTTCCTCCTCCATCAGGATCCTTTTTTAATCTGCTGGCAGCTGTTTGAAGCAGGGCTGGTGGAGCTGGGCTTCATTTCATGGCTTATTTCACCCAAAGTGAATGCAGGCTGCTCCGGAGCCTGTTCATGAGGAGGACAGTCCTGCCTTGCATGCCATCATCTCCTTTTCACCTCCCTGTAGCCTTGACAAGGCCAGCTGTCCCCCATTCACCAAGAGCAGACGTTTGAGCATCTCCTGCCCAACTGATGCTCCTTGGAGGTACTGGAGCAGGAGGATTTCCTGGTGGAGGAAGCAACAAGAAGAGAAGATAAAGGAGGCTGAAACCAGCTCCTCCTCAGCTTGGGTCTGTGATGATGATGCATCTAGAGGGCAGGGCAGGGCAGGGCAGGGACGTGCTCCGAGCTGGGCCTCTGCGTCACCTGATCTGTGGCCCCTGTTAGAGCCCCACCACTCAAGATTTCTTCTGGAGATGAAACACATGTGTGAGAGGGAGAGAAAGCCGTGATGCTGTGGTGCAAGCCTGTTTCCATTGCCACAGAGCCAGTTGGCACCTGTGTTGCCATGCTAAGGGTTTCCAGGTAGCTTTTTCCAGGTGGTAGGAGCCAGCCCATTCCTGTTCCTGCACCACAGGGGTGAGGGGATTTTGCTGGTGGGTTAAAGGGAGGAAAAGCAGGTGTCTAAAGCCAGTCTGCACAGTCTGTGGTGCCCAGGCAGCCGGTGGGGAGTTTGTTCCTCTGCTTCACACAAGCGACAGTCTCTCTGCATTTTAATTATCAGCTTTGCAGGTTGGTGGCACAGCAAAAAGCAGGGCTTGGGCCAGGCAGAGGTCTGTTAAAGGGGACAAGAAGTACTGAAAATTCAGATGTTTGCTATTAAGACTTATGATCTCAATTATTTACATCCAGATCCAAGACTTCTGACCTCCAGAAGTCCCTCCAAAAGCAAATTATTCCCTCATTCAGTGATTTTTATATTTATCCCTGCACTTCAGGAAATCAAACAGGAGAGCCACACCAGGAGAAGGCTGAGCTTTGTATGTGCTTGTTGCCAGTCATCTGCTGTGAGACAAAAATTATTATGAGCTGTCATCATTCAGCCTGGTTATGTGCTGGCTGTGATCCAGCCACAGATTTTTTGGCTAGTGTCACAGTTTTTGAGAGCTGGAGAGTATCTAAGCTTTTCTCACAAGGAGCAAGCGTGCCCGTTTTATAAATATTCGATAACTAGCATCTTTATGTCTCACCATTTTATAGTGAAATGTGTACTTTGCCATGCAACAGTTTCTTTTCAAAAGTCCCTGCTCCTGGATTTGCAGCAGCTTATGCAGGTTTGCATCTTTTTCTTTTAAAGAACTTTTTATCCTCTTGTGACTGCAGAGAGGGAGGAAAAGATATATGTGGGACCACGATGCTTTCAAGTTCAAAACCCAGAGGTCAAGCGAGAGGGGGGCGGCTGGGTTTTGTTCGAGACCCTCGCAAAGGAGCCGGGGTCCCGTGCGGCACCGGCGGCGTGCGATGGCGGAGGGAGGCCTGAGACAAGGCTCGCCAGCGACGTTGCAAGGCGGGTGGGGGAAAAGCCGGCACCCCGGGCTGGCTGAGCGGATGAGAGGCGAGGCGGCGGGGGCTGCGGCCAGCCTACCGCAC